TTCTTGAATCTTGAGCACTGCATCTCCTAATCCAATAATTTTCAAGGTAAGTTTCTATAGTTTAGAAGTTGTCCAAATATTGCTTCCTCCTCTTGGCTGTCATAACACTGCTTTAATCATGGATGTACAGATACCTCTTTAAGAACATGCTTTCAGTTCTTTTGAAATCTCAGAAATGAGATTAGTAGATAGATCTTATGGTAGTTTTATTTTTAATTTTTGAAGAACTACTACACTGTTTTTTGTAGAGATTGTACCATTTTACAGTCTGAATAAGAATGTGCACAGTTCTAGTTTCTCCACAATACTGTTTTATGAGTATGAAATGATATTTCTTTGTGGTTTGAATTGCAGATCTTTGATGATTTGTGATGTGTTATATGCTTGGTGATCGTTTATGAGTCATCTTTTGAGAAATATCTAAGTCCATAGCCCATTTTTAATTGGATCCTCTTTTTGAATTTCAAGAGTTCTGTATTTATTCTGAATAGTTACTCCTTCCTTGTCAGATAAATGATTTCCATATACTTTCTCTCATTCTGTAGCTTGCCTTTTCACTCTCAATTGTAACAAAAGGACAAAAGTATTAAGTTTGATAATAGTCTCATTTGTTTCTGCTTTTGTTGTCTGTACCTTTGATGTCATAGCCAAGAAATCATTTACAACTCCAGTGTCATTAATATTTTTCTCTATGATTTCTTCTAGGAGTTTAAATAATTTGGGTCTTACATTTAGGTCTTTAATCTACTTTGAGTTAATTTTTGTTTATGGTGTAAGATAAGGGTCCAACTTCATTCTTTTGCATGTGGATATTGAGTTTTTCCAACACCATTTATTGATGTCTTTTTCCATTGTGTTGTCTTTGAACTGTTTTTTGAGAATCAGATATGCTAAGGTTTCTTTCTGGACTGTATTCTATTGCATGGTGTATACGTCTGCTTTTATGCTACTATTACAATGATTACTCTAGCTTTAAAGATGTTTTGCATTCAGAAAGTAGGATGGCTTCAGGTTTGTTTGTTGTGTGTTAAATTATTGAGGCTGTTCAGAGTTCCTTGTGATTCCATTCAGTTTTAGAATGAAGTTTTCTGTGAACCACTACCATTGAGATGTTGTCAAATCTGTAGATTTCTTTGCATAATATGGATATCTTAACATTAATTCTTTGAATTTATGAAAACAGGATGTCTTTCCAGTTGTTTGTGGCATCTTTTTTCTTCCAACACTTTCATAGTCCTCAGTATAGAAGTCTTTGAGCTCTTTGGTTAACTTTATTTCCAAGTATTGTATTATTTGGAATACTGTTGTAAATAGGGTTATTTTAATTTCCTTTTCAAATATTTTATTGATAGTACACAATTTGTGCAGTGATTTTTTTCACAAAAATTCAACCTATAAATTGTAATATACATAAAAGTAATAGGAACTAATATTTGTGTGTTGATTCTATATCTTGTAACTGTTATATTTACTAGTTCTAGTTAGTTTTTTAGTGGAAACTTTAAGGCTTTCTACACATAGGGTCATTTCACCTGCTGAAAGTGGTGATTTTTTTTTTTTTTTTTTTTTTTTTTTTTTTTTTTTTTTTTTTTTTTTTTTTTTGCCTAATTGCTGAATCGTTTCTAAGAGAAAAAAATTTTAAATAAGTGATTCAGGCCATGATGAGAATTTTGGAGATTTACCCTTTGAAGGTAAGGGAAAATCACTGAAAGGTTTTTAAAAGACAACACAATCAAGTACGCACTTTTAAAACAAAACTAAGCACCCTGGGTCCTAATAAATGATAGTAAGAGTTGATACAGAAAAATAGCACACCACTTCAAGGTGATCTGATTAGTGATTTGGGCTAAGGGATAAGGTGATGGTGGTAAAAGATGGAAGCAGAAAAAAAAGCAAATAGACTCAGTTATTTAGAATGGCAGAACTAACTAATGCAATGGTGGGAGCCTGTAGCACTTGTGCCACAGCAGGCTATTTGTTGTCATTGAAAGCTCTTCAGTTCACCAGCAGTGAGTTAATGGATCGCTCATGTGGGTGATGTCTAAGAAGAAAGCATTTTTAAGGCCAACTCTAACTTTGTAGCTTAAGCACAACTGAATAGAAATGACATAAGCTGTGGTGTAGAGATTTTTGTATGCTTGTGAGATTCTTATGAAACAGCATATTACAGACACTGCAAATGCATCTAAAGTTAATTATCTTTAATGTAGGAACTAATACTTTCTTATTCAGTATTACAAAAGTGGCATTTTATGGAAAGAGGGCTATTTTTACTTTCTCAAAGTAGCTGAAGATCATATACTTCACTAACTACTTTATATCATCCAAATTTGTTGATAGGCTTGAGTAGGTAGTTAAATTTGATGCATCTAATTACTCCAATGTCATAAAACTTCTTAAGTCTGACACAATAAAAAGGCAGTTCTTCTATAAGGAAAACATGTCCTAGATTGTAGAGAAAATGAAAGATGTAGTACAATGGGGAAAAATTTCAGTGCAAGAAAAATAGAGATAGATGGAAAGAAAGGAGAGGGACATGAGTTTTCAGTGGAACTGATTGGAGTGTATTACAATTTTCTTTTGATTCATTTGACTCACAAACTTTAGAATGTGTAGTTACCCTTTAAAGGCTAACGCTACCCCAAAACTCTTTACTACTATAAAGTATCATTCTAAGTAGAAGTAGAGACAGTAGTCAAATAGATTTTTCTAGTCCCACACTATATAAAGCTAGAAGTCAGAAGTTCGTTATTCTAGTCCTGCCTCTTTTGTTAGATGCTTTCTGTGATTCTCAGTTTACTCATCTGCCAAATGATGGAGTTGGACAAAATCATCTATAAAGTTGATTCTCTGTAGTCCTTATTCCTTTGCACTCTGTTATGCCCTAAGTGTGGCATTATCTTCCTTTCATTAAAAAACAAATACAGTTTTGAAACTTTTAATATTAATAAATATTCCTTCAGTATAATGATTTAGTGCAAATATTTGCAGTTTGTCATTCTAACTTACATGCTGCTTTGAGATTTTTAGGGACTGTTTGAGATAGCTTTTAGAAGTGCCACCATTTTGTTAGATATTTGCTGCCTTTAAAATTTGTTTGCCCAGGGCTTGGGATTTAGCTCAGTGGTTCTGCTGCCTGTCTCGCAAGCACAAGGACCTGAGTTTGATCCCTGATACCAAAAAAAAAATTTTGTTTGCCCTAATATTTCAAATTCTATTAATTATGAATTTTTGTGAGAGTATTATAAGAGAATTGTTTCCTTTTGAAAGAATTAGGAAAGCCTTTTTTTTAAATGTCAGCTACAGTCAAAATGACCTTATTTTGAAGTTTCTCTTAAATCTTTGATCTAAAATCTTCCCAAATTCTGCTTTGGTAGTAAACTGATCTGTGAAAAGATATTTGCTGTATAATTTTCTGAGTTGGTCAGATTTTTGTCACTGTAACCAAATACCTGAGAAAGTCACCTTAGAGGAAGAAAGATTTATTTTGACTTAGAGGTTTCAGTTTGTGACCAGCTGGCTCCAAGGCAGAAAAAATTAGGTGAAGAGCATTATAAAGGAGAGCTGTTCACCTCATGGCAGCCAGGAAGCAGAGAGAGAGGGAAATGACCCAAGAAAAGATAACCACCCAAAGGCATCTCCAGGAACCTATTTCCCCAACTAGGCCCTATATCCTATTAGCACATTCTTCTGTGAACTAACTCATCAATGGGTTAGTCCAGTGATGAGGTCAAGATTCACCATCACATCATAGGATCATGTGATATTAAAAAGTAATGCCATTTATCTTAGTAAGATAGAAATATCAGAAATGTCCACATTTATTTATGTGTGTTCAGTCATTACTGTTTGGGGTTTTTTGGGGTTTTGTTTTTTAAGGTTTAGTCTGAACAGCAAAGAGCAGTAGTTACAGAAGCCTAGACTTCAAGAAAAGGATAAAATATGGGATCCCGTGTCATATTATTTACAGATTCATGGTTTTAATACTGAAAAACTATGATCATAGTACTTGGTAGAAAATCTTTTCATACTAATGTGAAATATAGTTAGATATAAAAATAAAAATGCTAGAAAAGAGCCTGGGATATTTAAAGACAGTATCCAAACTTTTAGTTGTATCCTCTAGTTTGTTCACAAGTAGGGAAAATAATGTTTTACAAGGCATTTTATATTTTATTGCTAAAAGATTTTCAAAGGCTTCAGGTTAATTATCAACAAATGTTTAAATATGATTTCCATCCTGAAAGGAAAAACTTAAAGTTTAAATTGTTAAAACTTGAATTCTCTTTCATAAATAGAAAAAACACAATTCACTCCTATGTGTAGAGGACAGGAAAAGCACTAGGAAATTTACAGGTTTGAGCAGAATAGAAATTTATTGTGCTTAATTGTGTCTTAGAGATATATTGAGATTTATTGAATGATACTTTAAGAATAACACAGGCCCACAATTTTAAAGGATTTGTTATTTGGCAAACTTTTCCCTTATATTTTTTTCTGTAAATATTTTAAGGCTTTCTAAAATATGTTTTAAAACAACCTTTCTGAAATTAAGAATTCATTATTAATGTTGAACAAGATATTAGCTGAATTTATCTAAATATTCACATATCCTTCATGGTTGCCCATATAATTTTGTAATGCCCTAGCATTATAAATTTTAGGATACTGACCCATATTAGTCAAAAATAACTGATATAGAAAAAAGGATTTAGAATAATTTTAATAACTATTAGAATTTAATGCAAAAGTATTTTTATTACCAAGTAGTTTATTCACCTCATACTTTCAAGGGGCAAAAATTCAATGCACCTTTGAAAAGTTAGTAGTATACCTCTTTGTGCTTATAGGTTAATAATTTATGATACCCTTATTGGAAGTAGTGGAAAATGAAAAAAAAGTTCTAGTTCCTGTATTTTTAAAAAATTCCTTAAAAGTATTTGTATTGCAAATGAATTATTACCTAATGTTAATAATCTATTATGTCTTGTTTTTTAAAGTGAATGAATTTTTAGCTTTTGAGGGTCCCATCTTGTTGGATATGAGAATTAAACATCTAATCAAAACAAATCAGTTAAGTCAAGCAACTGCTCTAGCAAAGCTGTGTTCTGATCATCCCGAGATTGGTACAAAAGGTAGTTTTAAGCAAACTTACCTTGTCTGTCTTTGCACATCATCACCAAATGAGAAGTTAATCGAAGAGGTAAGTATATTTCTTTGTTAGTAATTTTTTTCAATGGAGAGATTAATTTTAATTAGATTAGAATGTTTTTGAGTATCCTTTCTTGTAAATAGTTAAGGGACCATTGTCACTCGTAAGTTTTGATATGCTCCTGGATGGTGGCAACTTGATTCTAAGCAGTTTTCTGAATTATGTACAAACTGATTGCACTTGCCTTCCCTTAAAAAATGTGACCTTTTAAAACTTGATTTTATTAAAGGAAAGATGTTGGTGGCCTAACAGTTTAGTTAGGATATTTATATTTGGCATTATTTGGGCCATAATTTCAGTTCTGCCTGATTTCAGAAAACTTTCAGATCTTTTTAGCTAATTTAGGTCACTAAGGCCCACCCATTTTATCTGCCCCACATTTACCCCTTTCAGTAGCGATATGCTTGAGACATGTATTCTCAGTCTCCCTCTTTTGCCTTATCTCTGTCTCTTTTGATCATTTATTTTTCTCCAATTTTTGTTAAGCGTTTGAGTTTTTAACCTATTATTTAGAGGACATTGGGAGTAGACTTTGTTAGGAGTCAGCCATGGTCTGAATTGATGGTTCTTCTTAGAAATCTTTGTCCAAGTAAGCCAACAGGAAAGGAAACAGCAGCTATACCTAGATGTCAGAGGCATGGCACTTGGAGAGATGAGTGATCATCTGGCTTCTTTTGGAAGGAGTAAGCTTTGGTTTGAATTCTTGATGTAGGTTGGCAGTGTTTACTTTAGATCCAGTATTTTTGTTGGTTTTAATCTTAAAAATAAACTTAAAATCCTTTCTCATGTCTCTTTAATCATCATTTTCTCATTTAATACTTCCTGAGGTAATACAGTAATTATTTGAAATTTGATACATAAGCATATACACATATTTTAGTACATTGAAAACCACATAGACATACCTTGACTGCTAGTCATTTTCCTCTTCCTTATTGACATCTTTTCCTTCCATTCCATATAGATCATCCTCGTTCTTTTCCCATGGCTACATAATTCCACAGTATGGATTTGTAATTATTTTTAGCCAGAGTGACGGACACTTTGTTGTCTTGTACATTCATTCTTCTATCCTTGCTGCTAGTATACTGGTAGAGTAAATTTCTGGAAGTGATATTAACTGGATCAAAGAATCTATGTATTTTAAGTGGATAGGGCTAGACTGTATGCTCCCAAGAAATAGTATATGAAATTTATTTTTTTCCTAACACTAGAAATTATTAGTCCTTTTAAGTATTTGCTAGTCTGTGTTAAGCACATAATAGCTCATTGCTTCATTTTTACATTTTCTCGGTAATGATAGATTTACCATTTAAATACTTTTCTATATGAAAGACAGTTTTATTTTGATAGGTGAATCTCATACTCTTGAAATTATTCTTGAAGTATGATTAGAACTAGTACATTTTAGTGATTAGAACTAATACATTTATTTTAAAAGTACACTTTGTAAGCAATATAACATGTTGAGAGTGTTTTATATCTTTGAATACTTGTTTTAAAGAGCCATATTAAAACCTAAAAATTATTATTTGAATCTTTGATTCTTCTGCTTTACGAGGGATGCAACAAAATATTTCTTTAACACACAGACCATTCCATTTGGTTTTAAATATTTTCATCAGAGTTGTAAATATTCTATTTAAGTTTTGCTCACTTTTCAAAACAATAGGAAATAGATAGTTCCTGTATAGATAATATGCTGCTTAACTCAATTATACTGCCTTGGATTTTTAAAATAATTCTTGTTTAATGATGGCTATGTTTTTTCATAATTTTTAATCCAGTCATTAACTTAAATGTGGTTTGATTGTTTCTACCATTATCTTTATATTTTTCCAAGAGAGCCATCTCATGGCAAATCAGGAATTGAAGGCTCTCAAATGTACTCTGAAAATTATTTCATTAGTATGTCTGTGAAAGAAGTCTTACATTTGAATGTAGCAAATATTTCAGTTGGTATATTGTATAGATGTGGGTAAATAGAGATACTTGTAGATGATCATAAATTCATGGAAATATTAATGAGAGTAACTTCATTGACAAAATATATATTCCTGTAAATAATATTTACATTTTGTATCATGTGATCATTCTAAAGGAATAGCTCAGGTTTTAGAAGAACAACAGTTAATCTTATTCAAAGCAAATCTCACTTTCAAGTAAACAAGCATATATCCATATTTAGCAATATAGAAACTCCATTAGCTTGTGCAAATGGAATTCTGGAAAGAGTACAGGCTGAGTAATCCTGTGTTGAAATCTTTATTCTGCCACTGTATAACTTTTTCTAAGAAGTATAACTTGAGCATCCTAATAAAAATGTTTCAAATCTAAAATGGTCTAAAATCTGTAACTTTTAAAACACCAACATAATAAAAAGTGAAAAAATTCCACACCTGACTATGCAGGTCATAGTAAAAAATGCAAAAAAATATTGTATAAAATTACCTTCAGGCTGTACTTATAAGGCATAGCTGAAAATAAAGAAATTTAGTGTTTAGATTTAGGTTCCAATTATAAGAATGATAGATATAGATATAAATATATTCCAAAATCTAGAACACTTCTGGTCTCAAGTAGTTTGAAAAGGAACATTCAACCTGTAATAGTACCTACCTGACAAGCTTTTGTGTGGATTGACAATGCTACTTTTAAAGAAGCTGGTAGTAATAAATAGTAACTGTTGTTACTATTATTCACATCTTATGAAATAAGTTGAAAAATCTCATGGGTTTGCTATATTTATCTACATGTGTGATTTAGGATAATTGTTTAAATTTAATACAGCTTCTAATACAAGATAATGTGATGAAGCGGCAAGATTATGGGTCTTTGATGTCTGTCAGGCATGATTTGATGTGTGGCTTCACCATTTAACTGTTGTAATTTGAGCACATTATATATAATTATTTTGAACCTTGTGTTCATTATATATAAAATATTAATAATACCAATCTAGTGGGAAAGCTCTGGTGAAATAATATGCATAAAATATCTGGCAATAGGTTTAACATATTATAGATATATTTAAATATTATATAAATAATAACCCACACAGACACACAGAGTACGGGAGATTGAATCCAGGGCCTCTACAATGAGGTACATCCTCAGCCCTTTTATTAAAATAAAGTTAGAATCAAGGGCTCGCTACGTTACTAAGTTGCTCAGGCTGTACTCCAACTTGTCCTCCTGTCTCATCTTCCAAAAGTGCTGGGATCACTGATGTACCACCATGTCTGGCTCCACCCATCTTTATTTGTTTAAATAGAGTCACTTCTAGAAAAAGATTTGTTAGAAAGTGGTGACGGGAGTAATGCAAAGAGCACTGTACCAAGATATACCAACTGCCACTACCTGCATACTTCCTTTAAGAAATCAATGATATTAATCATACAAACACGGAGTTTGGTATTTTCTTGGCTCAGTGTTTTCTTGCCCAGTTCTGTGTTTATAAATAAATAAATAAAACCTGAATTTGTTGTCACACAGCTTTTATCTTTATTATCAAAGATTGACCTAATATCCCCATTATCCATTTAGACAGTTCTTCAATCCTAAACTCTTATTTTACATATACACTTTCATTTTCCTAGTATTTGATGAGAAAGAGAAGATCAACTAGAAGGGATGTAGGTGCTAATGTCTGTGCTTGGTGTTCAGTTCTTTTTGCCATCTACTGGAATTAAGCTTTCTGTCTGTGGAACATTAGTGATTTGTGATTGTATGCCCTCTATCTCATTCTTTGTCTTACAGCAAATGTTTGCAGAAGTTGTAGGTTAATTCTGTTTGTTGAAATAGTACATTATTATAATGAGATAGTATTTTATAATAAGCTGTGAGGGTATCATTAAATGAACCAAGTTGCCTTCATCTAGGTTATATGTACACATGTGTGACTGCTGGAAATGGAGTAAATTTATATGAAAAGCAAAATAATGAAGATTTATAGAAAATTGAAGTTAGCTTATTTTAAAAGTGATATAGCAATTTAAGCTGTTTTATATTTCCCTCCTCAGACACTTAGTTTATTACTGTGAACTCAGAATAACTTTTTCTGCTGATTCTACTTCATTTTAAATCTGTGGATAAGAAGGGTAAAAGTACTGCTGTTTTGATTTTTTTCATTAGCATGTATCTGATTTAATGGATAAAGGATATTTAATTATCATTATTTACTGAACACATGTAACTTCTTGAAAATAGTTGTTTTTCCTGTGTTTAATATTCTCTCAGAATTACCATTAATTTTTACTAGTTATGAAGAAAGGTTTTTTTGCTACCACCCAGTCTTTGTTGCAGTAATGACCAATTATGATTTGATAGTTTGAGTCAGACATTTTACTCATGATAATTATTTATAGAGATCTAATGAAAACTTTAAATTATATACTATAGGTATATTTTAATAGAAAGCCATTTTATAGAATATTTCTGTTTTCTTTAGATTTCGGAAGTTGATTGCAAAGATGCTCTAGAAATGATCTGTAACTTAGAATCTGAAGGTGATGAAAAAAATGCTCTTGTTTTATGTACTGCATTTTTATCACGTCAGCTCCAACAAGGAGATATGTACTGTGCTTGGTGAGTTGATTTTTATTTTTTAAAGGACAATTCGTTAAATAAAAGTACAAAATAGGTTTTTGGTAATTGAGATACCTTACTATTTTCATATATATTTAAGTCTTACCAACATGGCAAAAAGCTGATTTTCAGATATTACATGCTATACAAATTGATTGTCAAGTAATTCCTATTTAAATTTTAGAAGTTTCTGAATTAATGACCACACAATTTCTTGGCAAGCATACCATGATGGCCATCTGGTCAACAAATTTTTATATTTTGGAAGATGAAAGAAAACTTCATTTCTTTTAATGCCACTACAAAAATTTTTTCAGCTATGTAACCTACCTGTGATTTGATCTGTGTTTTTTTCCTCTGCATAATTTTAGCTACTTAACTACCTGCTATCACTTATATGGACCTATAGTTCATTTTCTTCCTGTGAAAAATCATTCCACCTCCTTAACTTCTTCAGGTTCTCCTTCAGTGCATATTTCCTTGTATATGGCACATTTCCAAGTGGGGAAAACTTCTTATATACATATAATCTTTTGGGAAGCCATAAGGAACAGAGATGTTGACATCAGTTAACTTTAAAAACTTTAAGATCTGCTGCCTTAGATTAGTGTTAGCCAAGACCACAATTTACATGATAAGTCAAAAACATTCTTAATGTTTAGTGTTGTGTTGGTATTATAGAAACACAAAAGAAAACTTGGTTTATAACATACTGCTGACATTAAAGAGTATGTACCAAGTGATATGTAGCACATAAATGAAGATAGAACAGACAAATAAATGATTGTGTAATGAAAAATTTAAAGTTAAGTATCAGTGAGCAGTTGAAGATTCTGAAAGGAATAATAAGATGTATTTATCAAAGACAAGTAGATTAAGTAGGTATAACAACAAAGTGTAGCATGAAAATTGGTGATAACCACTAAATCAGTGTGTTATATTGGTTTAAAAATATATTCATTGATTTAAAAAATTAAAGTGAAGTCTATGTGATATGTAAAAACAGTCTATTTTAACTCAAAAAGGCAACATAGAAGTTTTAACAAACACTTAAGCGGTTGAGAATTTATTGAAGAATAAATAGCGAGGGGAGAGAGGAGGAAAGAAATGCAGTATAGAAATGAGAAAGAAAAATCAGCTATAAAGCTAGGAAATAGTCTGTCTGGGAAATGCCAAAAGCTTCCATATAGATGTGACATGAAGTGAGAGAAATGTCAGAGATGACACTTGAAGATGTGAAAAAGCATATTCTAATAGGTCAGCAGTGATACATTAAATAGGTGGTAAACTGAAAAGAATGGCAAACATCCTTTTCAAACACCATACAGTCACATATGCTTAGTGACAGGATACATTTTGAAAAAAATACATGACTAAAAGTGATTTCTTCATTATGCAAATATCAAAGTATTTTTTTATTAACTAAAAACTCTATAGTGGTATAACTTCTCTAGGTATATACACATAATCTTATGGAACCATTGTCCTATATGTGGCTTGTATTTGATGGAGAGACATCATTATAGGGTGTATGACTGTACTGTTGGTTTCAGATTTTAGAAGAGATCAAAGTGAAGAATTCTTACGAACTTTGAGAGGGGAAAGTGGCCAAGCCTAGAAAAACATATTTTTTAAAATTTATTCATCTCTCTGTTTTGTGGTACCTAGGGATTGAACCCAGGACTTTTCATGCTGAGCTACATTCTCATCCATTTTTAATTTTTTATTCTGAAATGAGGTCTCACTAAGTTATTAAATTGGGCATTGTAGTCTTCTTAAATTTAGAGTCCTCTTGCCTTACCATGCCCGAGTGCCAGGATCACAGGTGTGCACCATTACACCTCATGAGAAAGGGGTTTTGAAGTCCTCAATATGTACGTTAAATTTCAGGAAATGAGCAAATTGCAATGGTATGTTGGTTCACAGATGATTTTGTTTGCAAACAATGTGATTCGCAAAAGCATTTGGCAAAATTTGTTTTTGTTTGGACACTGTATCAGGCCATCTTTTCTAAAATCATAGAACAAATTAAGTTTGTGAATTTAGGTACCACTGTATTCAAGTAGATGTTGAAAAGGGTAGAATTCCTAGGAGTGGAAACTGGGAAAAATTAATAAAAAAGGGCTGTATTGAGGAGAATACTTGATTAAAAACATTGAAGCAAAGAAACTTTTTAATGGATATTAACTATGAAGTACAGAAGAGAAATTGAATAAACAAAAGAGAGACAAACTGATCACTTTAGCCAGATTACTTTTTATGAAAATACATTTCAGTTAATTTTATTTTTTAAAATATCTTTATTGTTTTAACTGCTATGGCAGATTGGTTTCTTCTGTGGGTTGTGCGTCATCATCGTTTTTGTTTTGTTTTTTGTTTATTTTGGATTTTGTTTTGTATGGCTAGGGATTGAGCCCAGTGCTAAGCAAGTGCTTTACCACCGAGTTAAACCTCCACCTCTCATCACCATTTCTTTTATGTTTTATTCATCTAATAACAGTAATCTTATTGGTTGACTTTACATTTGTTAGAAAGTAAATGGTGCACACCCCCCACAGTGTTGGGATGGATCCCAGTACCTCATGCATGCTAAGCAGTTACTCTACCACTGAGCTACACCCCCGATCCTACATAAGTCCTTAAAAAAAAATTCACTGATACATAATACATATAAAGGCACATACTTCATAATTAAAAGTTCACTTATAGCTCCAAGTTACCATTTTATAATTTGTTTAAATATTAATTTCCTAGCTAAAAGATGGTGTTACTCTGGAATTGAAAAATATTGGAACTTATATCCTGATTTTATTTCATCTTTAGAAATTTGTGAGGAATCTATTGCTTTTAAATTAATTCCACATACAGAATTGAAATCTGGGGCCGGGGATTTAGCTCAGTGTTTCCACCGCCTGGTTCACAAGCGCAAGGTCCCGAGTTCGATCACCGGTACAAAAAGAAAGAAAGAAAGAAAGAAATCTGAAGCCAGCTTTAATTTCAAACGTAATGACTGGACTGCCATAGTCCAGGATTATTACATTACTACTCCAACTTATCTTTTAAATCTTTTTTTTTTTTTTTTTTAAAGGGAACTTACTCTCTTTTGGAGTAAATTACAGCAAAGGGTAGAACCATCTGTACAAGTGTACCTAGAGAGGTGCCGGCAACTTTCTTTGTTAACGAAGACTGTATATCATATTTTCTTCCTGATTAAAGTTATTAATTCAGAGGTAAGAGTACTCAAGATATCTTTTCTTAATTTAAAATGCATAAATCATCTTTAACAAAAGAACTTTAACTTTTATTATTATTTTGGCACTTCTTTCAGTAATTTTTTTTCTTTCATTGAATGCTTTAGACATTGATTTTCTTATTAATCCTTTAAAACATTTGATCCAGAGAAACTTAAAAGTGCAATTGAGAACAAAAGTTCTGCTTTTAGCCTATAGGAAAATAATATACTTAATATCTGTATTTTTTTCATTCTTCGATTTTACTCCTAGGTGTTATACTACTTTGATAATTTGGCTCTTTGGAAACTTAAAGAGGAATATAGAAATAAATTTTATTGCTAGCCGTAGGGCAAATTACATTGTGTAAACCCATCTAATACAGAACAGCCACAAATATTTGATAAAATACCTTTTTTAAGCACCTGAGATTGTTTAAGAATATCAACAAAATCTCTAGGGTTCAAAATGAGGAGGTACCTAAAAACTGGAACAGAAAGCGTAAATTGATTGCCTAACTCCTGGGGATTAAGATTTGTTGGGTCTTACAGTAACTGAATAGGGTAAAAGATAACTATATAGAAATCAGATAAAGTCTTACACTTTCTCACGTTGGGGAGTTAGATCTTAGGACATCATCTCTTAAACACATACACATAGCTATACATGTGAAGTAACATCATTTCATTTAAAAACACTAAACAGGTTAATACTCTTGAACACTGATAGATGTTAGAGAACAGCATATATGTCCAACTGGACTCTGGGTCAGAGGAGGAAAATCTGTTCTCTTAAAAAGGTCATAATGTTGTATCTGCCTTATGTATATTTGGAGGCCAAATACATTTTAGCAATACAGTTTAGAAATTCCCCATGTTGGGTAAAAGTAATGTTTAAGATCAGGATGAAATTCTAGGCTGGTAATGACCCTACGATTTATTAGAAGTAAATGCAGAACTGCTGTGGAGGAACATACTGTTAGTGCAGGATTCTCATAAATAAAGCCCTGCTTAAAGATGCATTTACCATCAAGGTTTACAAAAGGACCACTAGTACAATTATTTGCCTAATGCTTTAAAATAATATAATTACATGTGAACCTATAAAGTGCATATAAAGACAAAAAGAACTAAAGCATGAAAAAGATATCAAAATGAGCAAGTAGGTTTTTTAATCAAAAAGACTTTGGAAACGCATAGTAATTGAAGTAAAAAACAACAGATGGATTATATATACAATATATCACAACTGAGTAGGGAATTAATGAGCAGAGATTGCGTATGTACTCTCACTTATGTATCTGAATTCTTACTAAGTATCAGAATCCAAGTTACTAAGTTTTGTTTTTTTAAATTTCTGATGTTGAGGATCAAACCTAGGGCCTTGCTCATGCTAAACTAAAGCTATAGCTCTGAGATACACAGCCCAAATTTGTTTTTTATTTTATTTTATTTTGTTTTGATTTGTAATAACTTTTGTAAGAATGAAGTGTTTCTGTTTACATGTACACAGAGGGTCTCTTCCAGAATTGTCATCATTGCATAGAATCTACACATGAGGATACAATACGGCAATATTTTTAAATTAATGTATATTTTTGAAAGGATAAACCAAAAGACATTTTATATTCCCTTTTAAAATTGCCTTTTACAATCTCTAATTGTACAGTTCATCTTACTTATATCTTTATTTTCCTATCTTGAAATAATTTCTCCTGAAGGAGTAAAAGACAGTAATAAATTCTTCTGTTTTTCAGTTTTTCCACTTACCAACCTTATTAATACATCTTGATTTTTCTTTTTATATATTGTAGTGCTATAGTTAAAACACACACTAGAAAGACACAGTATGTTTCTTAGTGTATTATTATACAATTTTAAAATTCAGGTTGTGCTACTGCTTATTACGTCACTTAACGAAAGCATGGCAAAGTAGAAAGGATGTGGAACTAGAAACCAGACAGGCTGACTAGAAAACTTGGCTAGCTACTGACTACTACTTGACCTTAATCTAAATTCTGATTTCATTTCTTAATCTGATGCATCTACATTTGGTAAAAGTGACTATCTGCCTTTGACCTTACTCCCTGCTCATAAACAGGCCATTTCTCAGGGTGGGGGAAAAATCTTGAATAGGAGCTGTACTATTCATTGTGATAGCCTTCCTCTAGGTGACCAGTAGCTCCAGATGGCAAGGAGGTACCATGTTGATAGCACAGACACAGAATGTTCTCATCATAAACAGTTTTGTTGAATAGTACTCATGTTGGGGGAGAGAGGGGATGGGACAATGAAATGGGGGGGAGAGAGAGAATTTAAAAATTAGTTAACACATGACTACACTGGGGAAGTTGACCATCCTAACAGACTTCCTGACAAGGATAATCTGCAGCATAGTAATTGCTCTTTCCTATAAAATTTTCTTTCCTTTTAGAAGGAATTTTTCCTTTTTTTTTTAACCATATAGAATCTCATCACATAGTGATAGTTTATCTTAAAACTGGAATTATAGATTGTTACTGTTTTAGGATCAAAGAGACCTTAAAGTAAAGGTATACGTCCCTTGAGTTGCCTAAGTGACTAGGTAGTAATGTCCAGAGGATAAAATATAACATCAGCGTTACTGATTTGGGTTAATGGCTCTCCCTGGATTTTCAAAATTCTAGAAGTTGTTGAGCCTGTCACTAGCTACTCATATAATAGTTATTTCCTTAATAGATTGATTTGTGTGTGTGTGTGTGTTTGTTTAGGGTCTCATAGTCCAAGCTGGCCTTGAACTCTCTTTCTAGCCCAGGCTGGCCTCAAACTTAACCAGTCCTACTGCTTCTGCCTCCTATGTGCTGGGATTACAGGTGTGCACCACTACACCCCACTTTTTAAAATTGATTGTTTATTGGTACAGTTTAGATATACATAATCGCATCCCACTCTTAAATCTTGAGATCTGCAAAGAAATCAAGTAGATAATGAGCATCTTTTTATTAATGGGATACAGTCTTTCTTAGATCCTGTGAAATTAAAAACTAAACAATTGCAGTATAAAATGAGCCTTTCAGGTATGTTGAAATGCTGAGACTCATGGGAGAACACATTGCTTAGCACAGTGATTGGTATAAAATAGGTTCTGAGTGAATAAAAACATTGGGTTATCTAATCCACTTTTCTGTTTTGGTACTCAAATAGTAAGGGCCAAGCAAAGTGGGAGAGGAAGGAGTTCCTAGTCCCAGAAATAGAAACATGTAAAGTGGTAGGTATCAGAACAAATGAATGAGATATTTTGGAAACTAAGTAGCTTAGTTTGCCTGGCTGTTTTTGGAAAGAAAAAAAATAAAGCTAGAACAGATGAGAGGAAGTCATACTGTACAGCCCTTTTGTATTCCACCTTAACTGTATGCTTAATTCTGAAATACATAGATAGCCTTTTAAAGAATTTCAAAGCAGGTTAAGACACAATGTTATGAGTAGCTAAGGAATGGTTGAATGGAATGTCACATGGAGAACTGAAATCAACATAAAAACTTCAGATAGTTTTTGGTCAAGGATACTGGGCAGCAGAGAAAAAAACAAGAACATCTATGGAAGAGGGTATCAAAGAGAGACTTTCTGTTCATCAGAAGCTTGCCTAAGGCACTACTGAGTTTCTCTTCCTCTTCTGAATTCATACCACCTAACTTTCTGTGACTCAGAAATTCAAGCTGGAGCTATCAGTGTTCTGTTGACTGATATTATGGCTTAAGTAGATTTCTTAAAGAAGGTTAATAATTCATTTGATCACATCATAATATAGAAAATAGCTGTGAATTCAAACTCGGCTTTAAAAGCATATCTGATGTCAGTCTGTTTCGATTTTCCAGTGTACACTTACAAAGATAAACATTCAGTAGAATTTTAATAGTTTTTTGTTGGCATTATTTGCTTGAGTTTCAGATTTGATTACAACATTGAAACTATTAAAATCAAATTTATGAAAGCTATTTGTCCTTAATAAGTTAAAATGAACCCTTGAAATAAGTAGCAGATAGGATTATAGAAATACCAGATGCCCCTCTGAAATAATTTAGTCACATTTTATAAATTTTCTAATCAACTTCTGACATTTCTAGAGAACATGTATCACCAAAAAAGCTATTTTCCTCAAGGCACATATCCTCCTTCCAAAAATTCTCTGATCTTTGAATTCTTTCTTAACTTCCTTTCATCTTTCTTTCCTGAATTCTCACAGCCTTTTTCAGAATTCTCACCCTCTATACAGTATATGTACTTGTACCAATCTTTCTGACGGGAATTACTTCAGTATCCTATCACATCACCTTTTATAGTTGGGTTGGTCTTTGATTCTTCTAAAACTTCTTTGTGCCTCTCCTCTCTTATATGCAGCTTCACTTACCACATGTGTCATGTATCGCAACAGAGGAATAACTACATAGGTTTATGTGAAAACTAGAGATATCCATAAGATCTCACTTCTTTCTTTGTTTTTTTCTTCCTTGTTAGTTAAAAGTTTCTCCATGTCTTATCTTGTCTTCTTCGTGTTTGTGCCTTTGCTTTTCCTAAAACCAAAGCCAGTTCAACATCTTCCCTGCTTTCCTTTCTGTTTTTTGATCCACAAATCTAAACTTGTTTTATTTAGTATTTTATTTCCTTCTTTGCCTATGAAAATAAAGATCCTATCAGTTTTCTCTACTTTTCTTTCTTTCCTTTGATCATGTATTGCAGATACACCACTCCAATAAATGTGGCCATGTCTTAGGACTGGCTTGTTTCTCATATATTCATTTTCCTTTTTATTCTTTAAAATCCATTTTTATCTCTTCATATATCTCTCAAGTGACTTTTACCTTCATTACTACTATCTAACAAGAATTCAGGATGCTAATTCAAAAGAAAATTGTTTATTGGGCTATGTCTCTTCTTACTCCTATATTGGTCCAGCCATAAGGTAGGTGATTCACATTCTGATTTATGTAAAGTCCACACTATTAAGAATCAAGTAAATTATTTTGCTAGAAGTGAAATTCTTCTTTCACTAGCAATAAGTTAGAGAATCAGAGATCATTCCTATTTTGTACTTGGATCAGGAAGGTTGTGTTTCAAAAGTACAAACTAGGAAGATTGATGATAAACATGTATTGTTCACTTACTAAGTGTCAGACATTACACTAAACCATATTAGGTACTGTAAAAACTTAATCTGCCTTAATGCTGCTCACAGCAGCAATTGTAAGTAATTTAAAGTACTATTTTGTCCTCTGCTTTATAAATGGGATATGAAAAGTCAGGAAAAATTAAATAGCTTCCAAGTTTGCCTAGATTAGATGACTTCATACCCCAGGTCTTTTCTTAGCTTCCAGCATTTTTGGGGTTTTTTTTTCCTGCCATTCTATGCAATTCAGTAAACTTTAGACTAAGCTGCAGAGCTTTAGAAATGACGTCTTTTTATATGTTACTGTTGTAGGATCTGAAAAAAGCATGTCTGGATTTTTAAAACTAAATTAAAAAATAAACCTCTGTTGATTAGTGTAGATTAACATTTCCTGTATGCTTTTTCACAGACTGAAGGGGCTGGACTTGCTACCTGTATAGAACTATGTGTAAAAGCTCTTCGCTTGGATGCTACAGAAAATACTGAAGTGAAAATATCTATTTGCAAGACCATTTCATGTTTGTTGCCAGATGATCTGGAAGTTAAACGAGCTTGTCAACTGAGTGAATTTCTTATTGAGCCTACAGTAGATGCATATTATGCTGTGGAAATGTTGTATAACCAGCCAGACCAGAAATATGATGAAGAGAATCTTCCAATACCAAATTCTCTACGCTGTGAGCTCCTACTTGTTCTGAAAACTCAGTGGCCCTTTGATCCAGAATTCTGGGATTGGAAAACCTTAAAACGACAATGTCTTGCACTAATGGGAGAAGAAGCATCCATTGTGTCTTCAATTGATGAATTAAATGACAGTGAAGTATATGAAAAAGTAGTTGACTACCAGGAAGAGAATAAAGAACCTTCTGTGAATGGACTTTCTGGTGGAGTTGGTGCTAATTCTTGCCATCTTAAAGATAGTGGTGATGAAAAGCAAAAGAAGAAGGAAATAAAGCAGTTAAGAGAGAGAGGATTTATATCTGCTAGGTTTAGGAATTGGCAAGCCTACATGCAGTATTGTGTGTTATGTGACAAAGAATTCCTTGGCCACAGAATAGTCCGACATGCCCAGAAACATTATAAAGATGGAATTTACAGTTGCCCCATATGTGCAAAAAACTTTAATTCTAAAGAAACTTTTGTCCCTCATGTCACATTACATGTTAAACAATCTAGTAAAGAGAGACTAGCAGCTATGAAACCATTAAGAAGATTGGGAAGGCCTCCTAAGATCACAACCACCCATGAGAATCAGAAGACAAATATGGTGACTAAGCAGGAACAGCGGCCTATAAAAAAAAATAGCCTGTATTCAACAGATTTCATAGTATTTAATGACAATGATGGTTCAGATGATGAGAATGATGACAAAGATAAATCTTATGAGCCTGAAGTGATCCCAGTCCAGAAACCAGTACCTGTGAATGAATTTAATTGCCCTGTAACTTTTTGTAAAAAAGGCTTTAAGTACTTTAAAAATTTAATTGCTCATGTAAAGGGGCATAAGGATAGTGAAGATGCCAAACGCTTTCTTGAAATGCAAAGCAAAAAAGTTATTTGCCAGTACTGTAGACGGCATTTTGTAAGTGTCACTCATCTCAATGACCACTTACAAATGCACTGTGGCAGTAAACCATATATCTGTATACAAATGAAATGTAAGGCCGGTTTTAATAGTTATGCAGAGCTTTTAACCCACCGAAAGGAGCATCAAGTCTTCAGAGCAAAGTGTATGTTTCCTAAATGTGGCAGAATTTTTTCAGAAGCTTATTTACTATATGATCATGAAGCACAACATTATAATACCTATACTTGTAAGTTTATAGGTTGTGGTAAAGTTTATCGTTCTCAGAGTGAGCTGGAAAAGCATCTTGATGATCACAATACTCCTGAAAAAGTGCTGCCTCCTGAAGACCATGTTAATTCGTCTGGAGATTCTGTTCAACCTTCCATAGTGAATCAGAACACAGGAGAGAAAACTGATAAAGAAAGATCTATGCTTCCTTCTGAAAATAACATTGAAAACAGAATACCAGCAGACAGAAATGATGGTTGCGATAAAAGCAAATCAGAGTCAGCTGTGACTAAACAAGACCAGGTTTCTGCTTCTGAGTTCAGGCAAGCTAATGGACCATTGTCAAATGGTTTGGAAAACCCTGCTACTACTACTATTCTTCAGGCCAGTGAAGTAGCTGTGTCTATCAAAGTGTCTCTCAATCAAGGGATTGAGGATAACTTTGGAAAGCAAGAAAATTCATCTGTGGAAGGTGTTGGTCAGCCACTCATTACAAACTTAAACATACCAGTTGAAGATACTTGTAATAATGTCTGTCATCCAAGTTTCCAAGAGAAAAAGGAACAGGATTGCTTTAATGAAGCCCAGATTTCTCAGAATTCTTTAGTAAATTCAGAAACTCTCAAAATAGATGAGCTTAACCCACAAAACTTAGAAAGACAAGTGAACAGTCTGATGACCTTCTCTGTGCAAAGTGAGGCAGAATTTCAAAACAATTTGCCAGCTTCCAAGTTTGAATGTGGAAATAATATTAAAGCATCATCCAGTCTTTATAACTTACCTCTGAAGACATTAGAAAGTATCACATTTGTTTCTTCACAGTCCAACCTAAGTAGTTCATTAGGAACTCCATCAGTGCCTCCAAAAGCTCCAGCTCAAAAATTCAGCTGCCAAGTTGAGGGATGTACTCGAACCTATAATTCTTCTCAGAGTATTGGGAAACACATGAAGACAGCACATCCTGATCAGTATGCTGCATTTAAGGTGCAGCGCAAAACTAAAAAGGGTCAGAAATCTAACAACTTAAATACACCAAATAATGCAAAATTGGTTTATTTTTTGCCGTCACAGGTGAGCAGCTCTAATAATGCATTTTTTACACCACAAACCAAAGCCAGTGGGAATCCTGCTTGTTCAGCCCAGTTGCAGCATGTCTCGCCTTCCATTTTTCCAGCTCATTTAGCAAATGTGTCAACTCCACTATTGCCCTCAGTGGATACTGTCATAAATCCAAATATACCTTCTCAGGATAAAAATGAACAAGGTGGTATATTATGTTCTCAGATAGAAAATTTACCTAATACTACCTTGCCAGCACAAATGGAAGATATAACCAAAACAGTTTTGCCTTTGAATATTGACAGTGGCTCAGATCCTTTCCTTCCTTTACCTGCAGAAAGTAATTCAATGTCTCTCTTCCCTTCACCAGCGGATAGTGGGACTAATTCTGTTTTTTCTCAACTGGAAAATAGTACAAATCATTATTCCTCACAGATTGAAGGAAATACTAATTCTCCCTTTCTGAAGGGTAGTAATGGAGAAAATGCAGTTTTTCCTTCACAAGTAAATGTTGCGAATGACTTCAGTAGCACCAGTGCCCAAGAGTCTGCCCCTGAAAAAGTGAAAAAAGAACGTGGGCGGGCCCCAAATGGGAAAGAAAGAAAACCTAAGCACAACAAAAGGGCTAAGTGGCCTGCAATTATCAGAGATGGGAAATTTATCTGTAGCAGATGTTACAGGGCTTTTACTAATCCCAGGTCGCTGGGTGGACACTTATCTAAGCGATCTTACTGTAAACCACTGGATGGAGCAGAAATTGCTCAAGAACTTTTGCAAAATAATGGACAGCCTTCTCTTCTTGCCAGTATGATTCTCTCCACAAATGCAGTAAATTTGCAGCAACCACAACAATCTACCTTCAACCCAGAAGTTTGTTTTAAAGATCCATCATTCTTGCAGCTTCTTGCTGCTGAAAATCGCCCATCAACATTTTTACCAAATACATTTTCTCGGTCTGGTGTGAATAACTTCAATACCAATGTTAGTCAAGAAGGAAGTGAAATTATTAAGCAGGCTTTAGAAACTGCTGGCATTCCCAGTACTTTCGAGGGTGCCGAAATGCTTTCTCAGGTTGTTCCCACAGGTTGTGTCTCAGATGGAGCACAAGTAAATGCAACAGTGATGCCAAATCCAACTGTTTCACCTTTATTGCAGACTGTATGCCACCCAAACACCCTGCTGATAAACCAGAATAGGACACCAAATTCCAAAACTTCCATCATTGAGAAATGTAGCAGTTTGCCTGTTTTTCCAACAAATGACTTACTACTGAAAACTGTTGAAAATGGTTTGTGCACTACTTCATTCACTAATTCTACTGGGCTATCACAGAATTTTACCAGTAATAGTCCACGTGTTTCTGTTATAAGTGGTCCTCAGAACACAAGATTTAATCATTTAAATAAAAAGGGAAACAGTGCTTCTAAGAGAAGAAAGAAAGTTACTTCTCCTCTAATTGTACCTAATGCATCCCAAAACTTGGTACCAAGTGACTTAACAACAATGGGGCCTATAACAAAGACTATTGAGATTCCTACTACTAACCTCCATTCAAATGTAATTCCAAATTGTGAACCTCAGGGTTTGGTAGAGAATCTAACACAGAAATTAAATAATGTTGACAATCAGTTGTTTATGACTGATGTAAAAGAGAACTTCAAAACCAATCTTGAGTCCCATACGGTATTACCTTCTTTAACGTTAAAGACTGAAAATGGTGATTCCCAAATGATGGCTTTGAATTCATGTACAACTTCAGTGAATTCTGATTTGCAGATTTCTGAAGACAATGTTATACAGAACATTGAAAAGACTCTTGAAATTATTAAAACTGCTATGAACTCTCAGATACTTGAGGTAAAAAGTGGATCTCAGGGTGCTGGTGAAACATCACAGAATACTCAGATAAATTATAATGTTCAGCTTCCTTCAGTAAACTCTATTCAAAATAACAAATTACCTGATTCATCTCAGTTTTCTTCTTTCTTAAGTGTCATGCCAACAAAAAGTAACCTTCCTCAGTCTGAAGTATTACATAAGGAAGATCAAATACAAGAAATTTTAGAAGGTTTACAAAACTTAAAATTAGAAAATGACCTGTCCACTCCAGTGTCCCAGTGTATAATAATAAATAAACCAGTGACACTGGCTCCTACTGTTAAAACAATTCCAAATGTCACAGTTGTTCCATCAGTTTCTGAAATGGTACACGTTCCGTTTAGTGACAAAGTTAATAAACCTTTTGTGTGTCAAAACCAAGGTTGTAACTACAGTGCTATGACAAAGGATGCACTCTTTAAACACTATGGTAAAATCCACCAATACACTCCAGAAATGATTCTTGAAATTAAGAAGAATCAATTGAAATTTGCTCCATTTAAATGTGTGGTTCCTACATGTACAAAAACATTTACAAGAAATTCTAACCTCCGGGCGCACTGTCAGTTGGTACATCATTTTACAACAGAAGAAATGGTAAAGTTAAAAATAAAAAGGCCTTATGGAAGAAAGTCTCAGAATGAAAATTTGTCAACCTCACGAATTACGCAAGTGAAAAAACAGCCAGCTGTGACAGAGGAAATTAAAAGGGAATTGCACCCTGCTTTACTTTTGGGAGGAGAAACAGAAAATGCCCTCAGTAATGTAGCAGTGGTCCCAGAAAAACAACTTTTGGAAAAAAAAAGTCCTGAAAAAATAGAAAGTTCTTCACAACTAATTGTAGTTACTTCTGTGCAGTGTAATACAGATTCTCCCACAGATAGCCAAAGCAAAGGACGAAAAATTAGGAGGCATAAAAAAGAAAAGGAAGAGAAAAAAAGAAAGAAGCCAGTTTCCCAATCCCTTGAATTTCCAACAAGATACAGTCCCTATAGACCTTACCGTTGTGTTCACCAAGGGTGCTTTGCTGCCTTTACAATACAGCAAAACTTAATTCTTCATTACCAAGCTGTACACAAATCAGATCTTCATGCATTTTCTGCAGAGGTTGAAGAGGAGAGTGAAGTTGGGAAAGAAAGTGAGGAAACTGAAACTAAACAAACAATAAAAGAATTTCGGTGTCAGGTGAGTGACTGTTCTCGAATTTTCCAAGCAATTACTGGACTAATACAACACTACATGAAACTTCATGAAATGACTCCTGAGGAAATTGAAAGCATGACTGCTTCTGTCGATGTTGGCAAATTTCCATGTGACCAATTGGAGTGTAAATCTTCATTTACAACATATTTGAACTATGTTGTTCATCTTGAGGCAGACCATGGAATTGGAGCAAGAGTGAGTAAAACAGAAGAAGATGGCATATACAAATGTGATTGTGAAGGTTGTGATCGGATATATGCAACTCGATCTAATCTCCTCCGACACATTTTCAATAAGCATAATGACAAACATAAAGCTCATTTGATTCGGCCAAGAAAATTAACACCTGGCCAAGAAAATATATCAAGCAAGGCAAACCAAGAAAAGTCAAAGTCTAAACAACGGGGAGTAAAACACAGCAGAACTGAAAAGGAAGGAATCAAAATGCCTATGACCAAACGAAAGAAAAAAACTAATTTAGAAAACAAGAACGCAAAGATCGTACAGATTGAAGAAAACAAACCTTATTCTCTAAAACGAGGAAAGCATGTATATTCTATAAAGGCAAGAAATGATGCCTTGTCTGAATGTACAAGCAAATTTGTAACCCAGTATCCGTGTATGATAAAGGGATGTACTTCAGTTGTTACAAGTGAAAGCAATATAATTAGACATTATAAATGCCATAAATTATCTAAGGCATTTACATCACAACACCGCAATCTTCTTATTGTCTTCAAACGATGTGACAACTCTGAAGTAAAGGAGACTTCTGAGCAAGAAGGTGAAAAAAATGATGTCAAAGATTCTGACACATGTGTATCAGAGAACAATGATAATTCAAGAACAACTACTGTTCCACAGAAGGAAGTTGAAAAAAATGAAAAAGATGAAATGGATGAGCTAACAGAATTATTTTTTACAAAATTAATAAATGAAGATAGCACAAGTGTGGAAACCCAAGCTAATACCTCCTCAAACATAAATAACGATTTTCAGGAAAGTAACCTCTGCCAGTCAGAAAGACAAAAAGCAAATAATTTGAAGAGAGTTAATAAAGAAAAAAACCTCTCTCAAAATAAAAAAAGGAAAGTTGAAAAGGTTGAACCAGAATTAGCAGTTGAGATAAATAGCTTGCATAAAGAGGAAGAAACTGCTGTTGCAATTCAAACGACTGAAGAGCATCCAGCATCTTTTGACTGGAGCTCTTTTAAACCAATGGGATTTGAAGCATCATTTCTGAAGTTTCTTGAGGAGTCTGCAGTGAAACAGAAGAAGAATACTGACAAAGATCACACCAACAGTGGAACTAAAAGAGGATCCCATTCAAATTCAAGAAAAAATAGTGATAAGACTGCTGTGACTAGTGGAAATCATATTTGTTCCTATAAAGAAAGTGAAATTTTTGTACATTTTGCCAATCCATCACAGCTTCAGTGCAGTGATAATGTAAAAATTGTTTTAGACAAGACTCTTAAAGATTGCACTGAGCTTGTCCTAAAACAACTTCAGGAAATGAAACCTACCGTCAGTCTGAAAAAACTTGAAGTACATTCAAATGATCCAGATATGTCTGTTATGAAAGAAATCAGTGTAGGTAAAGCCACAGGCAGAGGGCAGTACTGATAATTAATGTACTATAAATACATCATTTATAGTTTTATTTTAAGTAGGAAGCCATCAAGCATGCTATAATTGTGAAACTTTTTTATTTTTGACATGAATTAACCTGCCCCCCCAAAGCATGACATTTGTCATGTAGGACTTTTTATCCCTATGGGACTTGACAAACAATTAGTACTTCATTTATTGTAAATATTTGAGTTGAACCTCAAATTTTTATCACCCAATTGCCCTTTTCATGAATTAGACTGAATTATCTGTGTGATTGGTATGTTTCACCAGGTCACTGCTCATGTATAACAGTACTCTTTATTTGTAGATACTTTTTTGTATATATTTATTATTGTAAATCATTTGCTGCCACCAGCAGTCTGTAAGTCTAAACTATTAAATGATACATTTATATTTGGAATTTTAATTTTTAACTAATTGATCAAATTTTTAAAACAACTTTTATTGTTTTAAATTAAGAACTTTTTAAACTAAAACTAGAAACTGCCATAGTTTATTGCTTTTTACATGAAACATTTATTTACAAGATCTCAAGAAACAAGTCTTAAGACTATGTTTCACAAAGTAGGCACATTGAACCAACATTGCTTTGTATATTTGCCATCCTGGATTTTGGGGTGGTATATCCATGTAAAAGTTAAATCAGATACTTTAGTACTTTCCTATAGCTATCGCCCCATTGCTTTCTATTTGGATATAGTTACTATGAGTCCATGAAATATAATGGAAATGTGAATAAAGAATTTAATACATTGAAGATTTTAAACATTGGTATTTTAAACCCTTTGTGAATGTGATAGAAATTAGTGGTGTGGAGCAGTGTAAATATTGAGGTGGTGATTTGTGAAGTAGCCCAGTATTGCCTTAAATAAAATCACATTTCATTTCTTGTTTTATACACGTGATCTTATAAAAGTTTTTTTCCCCCATTTTCTGAGATTTATAGATTGGTGTATAGCTTTAAACTGTAAAAACTTTTGTGGAAAGAATTTTTTAAACATTTTTATAAATCTTAAAAATTGCTATCATTAAAGTGAGCCCATCTTGTGTTTCTAAAATACAAGAATCCTTAACATAGTTACATAGATGAAACACTTTCTGTAAGGAAGTTGGATGTTTTGATTTACTGTTTATAGATATTAGATTGTACAGCTACATCTGTATTTCCTCACCATATCTGATGATACTCTTCATTAGATCGGTCTTCAAGAGCAGTATTAGTTATTATAATTGATTATTTTGATTATTCAGTAGTTAGCTCTTATGGTTTAGCTTTCACCATATTTATACTGTGGATTCATGGCAAGAAGTAGAGGTTATTTCAGGAGAGTTTGTGATTGACTTCTAAAGTCTTAAGAAAAATCAGCTCTGGAAACAAAACATCTTTTCAATATTTAAATTTTTGTTTGCCATAAATTGTAGCATTGAATTTTTATATTGTGTTATAAAGCAGTTACATTCACAATATTATTAGTGTGAAATATTGATGATATTGTGATGATACAAAGATGTGTATATTCCCTGTGCAGCAGCATCAGACTGCAGGAGAAATGAAGCACTTAAAAGAAATTGCTGGTACTCTGAATAAATAAGCATGGTCAAGGAATGATCTATTTTCTTTGGAAAATATTTTTTAAAGTTTTATTATTAAAGTATTACAGTTTTTATTTTTTAGGGCTTAGTGGGTGATATTGAATAGTTGGTTTCACCTCCTTAAGGTTTATTATCAATATGCATAAAACTTGACATTAAAATCCCTACCTTTGGCAAGCCCACTGTTATTTATTAAAATAAAAGTTTTATGGTTGATTAATACATGGTTTTTTAAATAATAATTTAAATCAGTAATTTTAGTAATTTTTGTGAACTGAATGTTTTCATAGAAATTGATCTCGCTCTTAAGGGCATTTAGCAAAACTGCCTGATTCAGTGTGATAGCAAGGGGATTTATTTCTGATCACTGTAATGATGAACCACTGCTAAGTGAAAATGTCATAGGGCTTTTGCTATATTAGCGTAAGAAAATTGACCAGTAGACATTTCTGTAATTGTTCTCCTACATTTTACGGTGAAGAATTTGTCAACATTGAGTGAATTCCCTTTTATTCCAAGTACTGTATGCAAAAAGTAATTATGGGAGAGTGAGCTTTTAGCATGGAACAGAAAAATCAAATTACAGTATAAAATAATTTATAGAATAGCGTGTTGGTAAAATTTGATATGGAATGTTATGCCTAAGTATTAAAAAACTCAAAGTATTTTTCATGGTATACTTTTCCTCTATTGTCTTTGAGATAATTTCTTCTGCAATATCTGTTAGCCTGAGCTATTGTCCAGTATTTCATTAAAAATTGATTTTTTTTCTATACCCAAATATTTTAACATTGCAGTTCAGAACTATGTTAGAATAAGTCATCTTAAATGTAACAGCTTGAAATTTTTCAAGATTGTTAAATTCAGTACAGTTAAACCATTTTAATAACACTTTTTTTTTTTTTAACTGGGGATCGAACTCGGGTCCTTGTGCTTTCAAGGCAGGTGGCAGACCCACTGAGCTAAATCCCTGGCACAGTTAAACCATTTCAAAATGCTAGACAGATACACATTCCCCCACCCAAAAAAAATGTGGTTACTACATGCATTTAGGTAGAGCAATTTAATGAGGTTCTGATTTTACAAAATGGTACCATGTAAAAAGATTGGATAAATTGTACATTAATAGGGAAACTTGAATGGTCATGGCAAAAAAGATGAGAACCAGAAGAAAAGTAGGATCAGTGAAGTTGAAAGAAAAATTAAAAGACTAATGTTTGTGAGAGCAGCGTTTTTCTAAATAATTTGTTGTTCTTCGTTATCAAAAGCAAGAAAGATGAATTATATGACCAAAGTAGTTTTCTAACCTACATGAAATAGCTCCCTTTTTAAGAATCCAGTGCACGTTAACATATTAAATATTGAAAAGACCTCTGAAGAAAACATGGTAACTATTAAAGTAGGAAAGTTCTAGACTTAATTGACCATGAAAACTTTTCAAATGTTAATACATAAGTATGTTCTGCTGAGTTCGTATTTTGAGCAACAGACTTTGGAAAGTGCTGATCTAAAATGTCATTTATTCAGCTGGGACTAATAACAGGTATGGACAGTTCAGCTGTATCAGCTGTTTTAAAATGTTGATTATTTTAGTTGGTCTTTTTATCCATTCCAATTGATTGATTCCTGTACTGTATTGTTAATGTTTTGAATATCACCCTTTATTCAATAATACAATAATATTTATTGAATGTCAACCAAGTGCACTTTGCTTAAAATCTAGTCTCCTTCCTTTAAACTCCTGCTGTGTGTTCCAGATATTCATTTGGTTTGGTTTGGTTTTTTCTTATTTTTTGAGACTGAGTCTTGCTGTGTAGTTCAGGATGGCCTTGAACTTACTTCATACCCTAGCCTGGCCTCAAACCTGTGGCAATCCTGCTGCCTCAGCCTCTGGAATGCTGGGATTACAGGCATGCACCACCACACCCAGCTTATTCCAGACATTCTTACCCTACTTCACAATTCCTGCTGTTTCCATTTCTTTGAATGCATACTAAGCTTCTCCCGCCAAAGCCTTCACACATTCTGTGTCTGGTTGGGATGCTTATCTCTCATTTTATGACTTTTTATCCATCAGTTAGGAATGTCATCAGAGAGACACTCAGGTCACCCTAAAATAAAATTATACATATGCCTATTTTTGAAGTGTTTTATAAATTTGTTACTTGTCCATTCTCTGTTCCATCACTACCACTATATGGAGAAAGCAAGAGTATGAGTTTTCCTCAATGACTTTGCTGATTAGAAATGCCTCTTATTTTGATGGTGTGTTCTTCTAGAAATGGGGCCCTACACCTTGCCATAATCAAAACTCATTTCCAAATTCTGAACTCAGGTTTCCTTAACCACATACTTCTAGTTCAGCTAGTTCATGATATCAGTAAAAAATTGCCTCAACAACTATCATCTGCTGACCAATCTCATTCATGTCCCCAGCTTTAGCTTAGAGACCAGATCCCATTGATATACACACTTTATTACAAACATACTCAAACCAAGGGTCCCCTCCTGCTGTTGTTGGAAAACTTGAAAACCTGTCTTAATAGAAAAAAATCATTCCAAGAGGTAGATGTTGCTAACCTCAAAACAAATATACTAAAAACAGCTCGCCATTTTTTTTGTTTTGTTTTCTTAGCTTGCCTCCACAACTTCAATGGTATATACTTCCCTTTTTTGCATGATCTTTTAATTACATTATACTGACAATTTTAAAATTTGGCAGTACTGTACCTTTCTAAAAAAAATTACTCCCAAATCTTCAAATTTACATGTATCTGCACTCCTACTAATGGGAAACTTAATTATTTTCTGGGTTGTACTCCCCAAAACAAGAACTTTCAAAACTTCTCTTGTAATGAATCTTTCTCTTACTAGATCATTTGCAAATGTTTACAGATAGGCCCTAGTAGCTACTTTGAAAGAGAATATAAGACACCTATCCAGTTCTTAACTTTGGTCCCGTTCACTGCTAATTTGCTGGTGCTCAATTTCCCCATGTGAATAAATTACTTTTAACCATTATCATCATCATCTATCTTGTCATTATCTACAGGTTCTCTTGACCCTCAGTTCCTCCGGAGAATTCAGTAGAGTTGATGATTTTCTCTTTGAAATACTCTTTTCTCTCAGCTTTCTTGGCACATTTTCTTGATTTTGTCTGAGGGCTACTGCATCTCATTCCATCCCTGATTTATCTCACAGTGACCTCTGGGTCATTGTGTGTGTTTCATGTTCTCTTCGGATGATTTACTCTATCTTGTGGAGTTTAGTTTTATGTCTTTCACTAAAATTTATACTTGTAAGACCAAACTTTTGGTATTTGTATTCACAATTGCCTACCTCAGTTAAGTATATTGTACTCAAACCATTATTTTATTTATTTTTTTTTTTTTACCCTACATCTTCTCAACCAATATTCCTTATCTGGGAAAGTGAAGTCTGCCTTATTTCTACAGCTAGGCTCATTGATACTATCATAATAACCAAAAGAAAGGTCCTTTCTCTGTAACTAGTCACAGTTACTATCATTTCTACCTCCTAAGCAGGAAGGAAACTTTTTCACCATGTCACAAAACAAGTCCAGTCACCATCTCTCAAGCAGACTGCTACAATCTCCTTACTGATTCCAGAATATTCTCCACCAAGCAGTTTGAATAACCTTTTAAATTTTTTAAAAAATTAAGACGGGGCCAGGGATTTAGTTCAGTGGTTCTGCCTCCTGCCTTGCAAGCACAAAGGCCTGAGTTTGATCCCTGATCCAAAAAAATAAATAAAAAATTAAGACTGGCTACCTGATTCGCAGGCACAAGGACCAGAGTTCAATCCCCAGTACCACAAAAGGGCGGGGGGGTCTTGCTGTGTTGAAGTAATTTTGAAAGGGGAAATATAATTTTTACACTACACTTTGAATGCAATGTTTGTATTATGGATCATCCCAGTTTGTTTTAAACACATCTTGTTGCTCTCTTCGTTTGCCTGTTGGATCATAGTCATATTGGCCTCCTTAGAGGACCTCTGACCAGCCAAGTTTTTTTTCATATCTCAAGGTCTGCATGCCTCCTTGGAAGGTCTACTTGATATTTTTACTCTTACAACTTAACTCATTCTACAGGTACCAGATTTCTAGTCCATAATTGGTTGTTCCTGTTAATTAGTTTTCTTTGTGGTATTTATCACAAGTTGTAATTTTTTTTTTCTTTTTAAATGGTCTTTGCCCCCTTTGAACTATAGACTGCACAAGGCAAGATCTTTCCTAATTAGGTTGTCTACTCATCTTGTGTCCTAGTGCCTCAGACAGTATGTTGAATTTAGGGACTTAGCAGTGGCAGATATTTAGTTGATGCTCGAGCCCTAACACAATTATTATGCCTGGAGTTTGTTGTTCAGGATAGTCTAAGAATATATATTAAAGGTGAGACTGGAGGAGCCAGTAGGGAGGTAGTCTGGGCAAGAGATGATGGTGACTGGACTACACTTGGTAGGCACAAAAATAAACCAGCGAAAAATAAACTTGGGAAGAGTCAGATCAAAACTAGTTAAAGGGTTGAAGGCAAAGAGCATTAGGAAAACCAACAGGGGAGATTAATGAAGGATCGATGGTCATTCCAAACACCATTTGGGAGATTAAGTCATGGGAATAGATGGTTGTCAATCTTTAGAGAAGTTTTAGTAGCCACTAAGTAATGTTTGTTTTCTAGCTCTGTATAGTTAATGTAGTGAATTGTGGTGTTTTCTACCTAAAAAAGTAGAAGTTGGAGTAAGAAATTGAACCTGGTCTCAAGAACGAAGGTGGGAATATTGCAGTACAGAAGAGAGGACACCTCTACCTCTTAGAAGACTATGTTAAGTACAAATGTTGAGCTCCTCAGGAGGAAAGGAAACAAAGTCTGCTTAACAGCAAGGCTTGGAAAAGTAGGAAAGGAAAGTTAGAATGCTGGAGATGAAGGAGTTGAATAGGGGATATTCAAAGATCAGTGGTAGTAATGCAATGGGCCCTCAAGTTAAACTGGCCTGACATTTGAACAACTTGGGTTATTTAGGTTTATGGAAGATTTGCCTCTTGTTATCTACCATGTACCCAGGTAAACATCAAGATCTCAGCTATATATATCAGCTTAACAACGAACTTGAGTTTCAGCCAGCCCTCAGGAACTGAATTCATAAGTCAAAGGTTCACTGTATATGAAGCTTCTTACATTCAAGGTATAATGTACTGATAACATATGCATGATTATATAGTATTCCTGGTAGCGATCCACAGTTTGGATGAAGGAAGAAAAGGAGGGAGGTTTTATCGTTCTGGTAGAAATAGTGCATCAATGAACTGAGCCTAGACAGGATAGGAAGCAGCCAAGAGTTCAGAAGAAAGGGGAGTGGGCAAAGGCAAAGCATTAGTATGAGGCCAGGATATTAAAATTTAAGATTTGGGAACTAATGCAGCTTACAGTATCTGGTCATAGAAGATTACTGAATTACAGATGAAAGTTTTTGGAGCTGAGAAGTTTAAAGAACATTGAGTCTGATTTATTAGGTGGGTTGTACGTGAACGGTATACATATCAATGTGAGAAGACTGAGTCAAGCATTGAAGTCCTAAGTACAGCAAGGACAGTGCTTCCAGACAATGTGATAGTTGCAAGAAATTTGCAAGT